AATGAATCCTTACAAAGGTATGTCGATCGAATTTACCTAATTGGTATTTCCAATCAGATTGAAGAAGGTAAAATGACATGGGAAGAAGCTTGCACCCATGTTCCCATCGCCCCAACCCTCCAATCAAATTATTTAAAATATTTAGATGTTTCAAAATCTTTTTTACAAAATCAATTTAGCTTACAGAATTCCCATTGCCTAAAGGCAAAAGGTCGTAGGGTCAATCCCTACGACCAAATCAAAGCTCTTGCTGTGATACATGACCACTGGGCCTTTCCCTGTGGTCAAACAAAACAATGGAAACGTTTGAAATTACAACAAATGATGTATCTTATAGAGAAGTACGCAGATACTTCAAAGAAAATCATTTCACCAAGACGCGATTAGAGCATGCCGGGCCAGAAACAGCAGTAAGATATTGGGCGCTTTCACCCAATCTTATCTGGCACGCAGATGTTCATTATTTTAGGGGTGTTCGTGGCCAGTATATTTATGGCATATTCGACGATTTTAGCCGCAAAGTCCTAGCGTGTATACAAATACCAGATATGCTGGCAGCGACGACAGCGAACGTTGCGGCTTCCGCCTTCATTGAATTTGGGCCCCTTATTGTTTCTGGACCGACAACGGTTCAGAAAATAGGGGCGCCTTTCAAGATCTACTTGATCTTTAGGGCGCCCAATGGCGGCATACAGACTCTCATTCTCCCTACCAAAATGGGAGATTGAGAGATTCTGGCTGACATTGGAGCGCTGCCAAAGCATTCAGGCTATTCCTGCCTTTATTTGGGAGTACAATAATAACACACCGCATGAAGATCTCCCAATTAATCCATTAACTGGAACAAATTACACGCCAAATCAAATGTATCAGCTGAAACCGAAATACACAAATGCAGATACAGAAAGGTTGTGGCAAATATGGGATACAGATACAGGCATGACCGCTGTTGACACATTCACAGCCGTAATAATAAACATAATTTTTTAATTTCATTTTTAACAAGTTTTTTTAAATGTATGTAATGAATAATTCATTAGAATATGATAATGCACATTGTAACAGAATAGAACAATCACCAAATTTTTGTTTGAAATTATAAAATAAAAGTAAAAAGTATAAGTAATCTAACCAAAAAAGATATTTAAAAGAATTTTGGAAAAAACAGAATAAGGATAATGATATTATTTTAGATACACAATCGATGTACTGAAGAATAATCCGGTAAAATGATGATATAAAATTAGATTATTTTACAAGTAGCTAAAAGAATAAAACTATATATAAAATAAATGAAGTTTAATGAAACAATAAAGGTTAAATAAATAATAAAGATTTTTATTTATATCAGTATTGAGAAGAAGTAACAGCTGACACTTGGTAGACAACTTCTTTATGTCTAGAAAATTCTATCTTGCCTTTTATTTTTTTCTCGCTGTGAAACGTATTCGTCATTTTTTTAAAAATTAATTTTTTTGTTAGAGATAAGAGCTAAAACTCGGTAAACAACTTCTTTATGTCTAGAAAATTCTATCTTGCCTTTTATTTTTTTCTCGCTGTGAAACGTATTCGGTCATTTTTTAAAAATTAATTTTTTGTTAGAGATAAGAGCTAAAACTTTGCAGACAACTCCCCCATGTCTAGCAAATTTAACATTCGTCTCCCATTTTTATAATTTGGTTTAGAATGTTCGAAAATGCGTAATATGGTCATTAATATTAATTGAAAAGAACCTTGAATTAATTCAATCTGATCTCACAAAATATTTTAAATTACAAACTTTGTAGTTTGAATAGATAATTAGTATTAAACTCAAATAACTAGTTTATTTTTGAATAAAAATTATTTGAATTTATTCAATTTTGTGAATTTTCCTTCAAAATTAAGTTTAAATATCTTATTTGCCATATAATTATAAATACAATGAAACATATTCGAAATTGAAAAGAATGACTTTTTCTGTTCTTTCAATCATTCAATTTGAATTTTGCAATATTAGATTTCTCATTAAATAGCTATTAAAAACAACAAGCAATTTAACTTACATTCAAATTTATTTGTGTTATATTCAATCTTCTCAAAACTTATAATTTTCGGCTATAGCATGATTATATGCTATATAATATAATAAACCTATAATAGTATCATTCTTTCAATTATTTGAAGAGAAAACCGAAAAAATCTATTTTCGGTCTATAACACTTGGTGGAGATTCTTTGACATTTTTAGATCACAAATTGAAATTTGTATTTCACAATTTTTTTCTTCTACCTTCCAAGGTAAATAAATTGTAATAAACAGAAATTCATCAAAAGTGACAGCTCTCAATTTTTTGACATTCGTAAATTCTAAATTGAATGAGAAAAATGAAATAATACTAAGCATAATACAATATTCTAGATTTAATTATAATTAGGAAAAAGTTAGTTTTGAGAGTACTTTTCATAGGCATATAGAATGAAATCTTCTGAAAAATAATATCACATAAACTCATATTATTTTCTAATATATAACTATTTTATATAAAATCAAATTCAATGATCTTAAAAGCGAAGGATAAACCTCAAAATTTACGAATATAATGAGTGGGAATATAATGCTTATCTATCATAAAACCATATGAAATATCAATTTTGCTTTACGCCTAATTTTTGACGACAATTAGCAAAAAATGTTAAATGTTAACACTCAGTCCATTTGAATATGAAAAATAAAATTGACTTTGATTAAATGTTTTTATTTATCTTGCAATTCTTCTTGCGACCAAAGATTTGAATAAAAGTTCAAAAAATAAGATAGCTTAAAAAATAATATACGGTAGTGTTTACTAATAGATGAATAGTATATAAATTCTATTAAAATGGATTTGATCCAAAAAAATATATAAAATTTGATCATAAATAAAATCGTTTTAAATTACTTCTTCATTTAAATTATAACAATTATTTTTGGTTTTATATTTTTTTGGATCAAATCCATTTTAATAGAATTTATATACTATTCATCTATTAGTAAACACTACCGTATATTATTTTTTAAGCTATCTTATTTTTTGAAATTTGATTCAAATCTTTGGTCGCAAGAAGAATTGCATGATAAATTGTTGCATGCTAAGATCAGTCATAATGTAAACCTCTCAATTTTATTGTCGTGGGAAGTATCTCAATTCCTTCAAAAAAATTGAAAAACTATTTAATTTTAAAAATATAATACTTTTAATTAGTTAATTAATTGGAGATATTTTTAAAAATCACTTTTGATAATACTTTTGAGAACTTTAATTAAAAAAATATATTCAAAAATATCCAGGATATCAAGAGGGAATTGTTCCTTATGAGGTATATAGTTATGATGTATACCTCATAAGGAACAATTCCCTCCTTAAAATGAGAAAACTTGTTCGAAATTGTTTATCATTTCGAACAAGTTTTCTCGTTTTTAATAACAAACTAAAGGCTATGAGGCACTGATTATATATTAGTGCCTCACAGCCTTTAGTTTCTAATAGATAGCTGGGAAACTTTCTCCAAATGATAAGTTATTCAGAGAAAGTTTCCCAGCTATCAAGAGGGAATTGTTCCTTATGAGGTATATAGTTATGATGTATACCTCATAAGGAACAATTCCCTCCTTAAAATCGTAGACATTTTTATACTTATTAATCAACCATTCAAAATCATATTCCTCTGAAAAGTTATTTTATTAAAAATTTAGAATTTTAATAAATATAGAGTTTGAATTTCATACAATACCTATATATTTTCAATAATGGAATTTGAAAACCATTCTCAAAAGTTCTCAGAAAACCTTTTTTTCATTAATTTTAAGAAATCTGAGTATTAAATTAAGTGATAAATTCGTTTGACACTACTTTAATTTTTAAATTCAAAAAATTATATGTGCTTCTTAAAATGACTCAAAAAAATTTTATTATAAAATAATATATAATATTAAAAATCCCACAACATTTTTTTACTTTACATAATCGTACTTCCTCGACGATTAATTTCCACTCAATTTCTATCGTTGACCGAACTTAGCATGCAACAAAATAAAAACATTTAATCAAAGTCAATTTTATTTTTCATATTCAAATGGACTGAGTGTTAACATTTAACATTTTTTGCTAATTGTCGTCAAAAATTAGGCGTAAAGCAAAAATTGATATTTCATATGGTTTTATGATAGATAAGCATTATATTCCCACTCATTATATTCGTAAATTTTGAGGTTTATCCTTCGCTTTTAAGATCATTGAATTTGATTTTTATATAAAATAGTTATATATTAGAAAATAATATGAGTTTATGTGATATTATTTTTCAGAAGATTTTGTGTTCTTCTTCAAAATTTTATTTTTTTATTAAAAAGAATCTTTACAAAATATACATTTACTTTAATTAATATTTAAAAACGTGCTCTATCAAAAGTTCCAAAAATTCAATATTTTAGCTTTTCTGAATTGTCACTTTTGATGAATTTCTGTTTACAACAAAATAACTGATTGATTAATTAGCTATCAATTTTTGAATAAATACTTTTTCTGACGAAAATTTATTATTGTTATTAATAATGGTTTGCAGATGAAATATCGAAAAATTTTATGCATGAATAATCGAATTCAAAAAAAAATTTTATGTCTTCATCAATTCTATTTTTTGAGGTTTTAACTAATTGTTGTTGAAATATAATTGACCTCAGAAAAATTTATTCTATCAATTAGAAATCTTATTGAGAGAAAAAGTTATGAGTTTTTGAGTCATCTTTAACTGTCAGATTTCTTCATGACTGAAGAACCAAAAGTACAGCAGGATCAGGCTTCACCAAGTAAAAAACCGAAATTAGTTAAATCTAAACCACAAGCCGCTGATCCAAATGTTAAAGTTGATAGATACGGTCAGATTATAGATGGAGAAGTTAAAGAGAAAACAAAAGCCGAACTAAAACTTGAAGAAGAAGAAAATGTAGTTGAAAGAAGACACGAACAAAAATGGCTGCATATGTTGTCTCATTGGGACGAATTTACCGGTAAACACCATAATAAACTACGAGAACGCATTAAAAAGGGAATTCCGGATTCGTTAAGATCAAGAGCATGGCCGAAATTAATTATACCTCACTACGGAACGCAGGATTATCATCCAACCGATGTTGATAAACTTTTAGAAGGCGGAAATCAAGTAGGATATCAGACAATTGAAAAGGATCTTGCTAGAACAATGCCAAATTATCCAATGTTCAATAACGAAAAAGTTTTCAATTCGTTACGCCGCGTTTTATATGCTTACAGTAATAAAGATCCTGAACTCGGATATACTCAAGGCATGTCCGCAATTGCTGGATTATTGCTCTTATATTTGGACGAATCTACCGCTTATGATTGCTTTGAAACATTAATGCTCGATGAAAGATACGGATTAAGGCATTACTTCATACAAGAATTCCCAAGACTTAAATTACTTAATAAAGTCTGGGAAGAAATTATGAAAGAAAGATATCCAAAAGTATGGAAAACATTCACAAAGGTCAACTTAGAATCACTCTACTACACTCCTTCTTGGTTTTTGACCCTTTTCTTCAACCAAAAAATCGCTCCAATTCTTAAATTCCGTATTTTCGATCGTTTTTGCGAATTTGGCTCAAAGGCACTCATTTCCTTCGGTCTCGTCATTGTTTCAAGGCACAAAGATGATCTCATCAATAAACCCTTCGAAAAAGTAATTATGACAATGCAGCATCCATTCAAACGAGGTTCAAGTGAAGATTCAGGAAAAATGGATGATTGGCGTTACGTTCTCAAGAAATACGATGAGCTCTGGATTTCAGACGCAAAATATAAGACTTACTTCCAAAAAGCTGGAGTAGAGTACTTTAACTAATCATATTTGCACTATGTATTTGTTAACTTGTTATAAATTTTTATTTATTTATGTTTCTCTCTCTTTCCAAAAAAATTGAACTAATATTTCCAAATTAAAGCATTGATTGAATATGTGTAATCTTAGTAATTTTTGTATCATCGTAATGTTTCGACTTAATAATGATATATCGTGTTATTGATATTCTTTGGGATCTAAGAGAATGAAAGAGAATTCAAAATAACAAAAGAATTAAATAATCATCCTGACAAACAGTCCTTTGGTATTTTGGATAAGTAAATCTCAAGTGAACCGGAAAAAAAATTCAGTTCTCCTTATAAATAAGAGAGTTAAAAAAGATTTGATTCGAACAATTTATATTTTATAAACAAAAACAAAAAATTACATAACAAGTATAGAATAAAGAAAGAAAATAAAATTTGCATTAAAATCTTACTAAATTAAATCAAATGCATAATAGAAAAAGAGACTTTGCCTCTTCCTAATAGCAAATGATTATACGGATTTGGACACTACTCAAAGAGCCAATCTTCTTCATCCATACTATTAAATTGATCTTCCCAACTCATGTCAGACATTGCATAGCTTGGCTTGCTTTCTGCTTTGAGTTGTTCTATTTTTGTCGTTAAAGGTAAAAATAAACTAAAGTAAGTAATAGAAATATTCTGTTCCAATCCGTCGAAAGAATTCTTCTGTCTGATCAATTCTAGAAAGTTTATAAGCCACTTGAGATCTGTCCTATTTATGTCATGAGAATGCATATGGAAAAATGCTTCATCAGAATAAATATCTTTCAGATACTCGAGCTTATCCAGCATTTGCATGACAAGTTGTTGAGTTGGAGATCCCGGCATTTCTGCTTGGTCGCTATACATACCACTGGTTTCATGCAATTTTGAAGAAACGCAATGCTGGTAAGCGGCACCATCTTCTCCATACTGTATATAGCACACTTGATCTATTTCGCTTGCTTTATCTTGTGCTTCTTGTTTTATGGTCTTCTGATCATTAATTTGATTGTTTTCTATAAGCATTCTTTCGATAATATCAGCTACATGTTTCTTGACAACTTTTCTTTTTGGGCGAGCACGTCTTGGTAAGTTTGAATAGTTGCCAAGAGGGTCAATCATATTTTTTAGGAAAAATTTTTCTCAGAAATTTAATACTGAAAAAGATTGATGTATGGTAATATTTAAATATAATTTAATTTGATTAATTATAATTGAATAGGTACCTCACAATTTATTTCACGGTGTTTATAATTTCTAAAATGGTTTTTACTAAAATGATTGTTTTCTAAAATTTGATTCTATCCGAAATTTCTGTGAGCTTCCTTCTGATAAAACGGATTTGATCGTTGTTTTATTGCTTCATCTAAAATGGATAAAACTTTTCCAATCAACATTTAAAATATAAGATTTTTGCTCAACTATTGGGGTTACGGAAATCAAAATTAAATCTTATCAAAGCAGATTCCATAACTTGTGCACTACTCTATTTGCAACTAGCGCGCCAAACTTAGCAAATGCACGATGTAGGATATTATTTCACTGAATATGAATCGATATCTCAGCTCCTTATTCATGTAAATTCTTATTCACATTCCACCATTGTACATCAGTACTCCTTATTTAGAATTATCCATCCTTTTTAAAAGTGTTGAGCATATAATTTATCTTTGAACGTTTCAAGAGGGAATGAATTTTATATTTATTGCTTTCGATATTCATAAAAACTTAAAATAAATCATTACCACGTATTAATAACAAGCAATTTAATAGATTTTGTGTTTGGATAATAAAATTGCTAGAAAATCCTTTTACCAATTGGAATATGGATAATGGTTCGGCTTTTTAATATATTTCGATGTTTATTTTGATTATACAACTTTATGAAACGGAAAGTAAATGTAAAAAAAATCAAAATTATCAATAACCTTAGTGGTATCGATATGCTATTGTACACAAGAATATAAAACCCAAATGAAGAAGTAAAACTTTTACTGTTGGCCCCTTCTTGAAGAAGTGAGGTGGGAAGATTTTGATGTTTATCGCGATTTGAATACTTTATTTTGTAAAGTATTCAATATTTTCACAGGTTATAATTGCGAATCAATGACTAGCTCCATTTACATCGGTATCGACAACGGCACACAAGGCACCAAAGTTATTGCATATTCTTCTGACGAGAAAAAGATTCTCGCTACAGGCTATAGCGCTCATAAGATAATTGAGAACAATGAAGGGCGTAGGGAGCAAGATCCTCAATGGTGGATTGATGCAGCTGATGAAGCAATGAAGAAAGTGTTATCAGATCCAAATGTTGATCCAAAGAAAGTTAAAGGAATTGGTGTATCTGGACAACAGCATGGATGTGTTGTTCTTGATTCAGAAGGTAAGGTTTTAAGACCAGCAAAACTCTGGTGTGATACAGAAACAAGCCCAGAATGCGATTATTTAACAAATAAATTAGGAGGAATCGAAAAGGTTGTTGAATTAATCGGAAACTCCATTGCTGCTGGATTTACTGTCTCCAAGGTTCTTTGGATCAAGAACCATGAACCAGAAACATACGAAAAAATCAAGATGATTTTACTTCCACACGATTACATCAACTATTGGCTCACCGGTAACTACACAACCGATATGGGTGATGCATCAGGTACAGCTTACTTCAATGTTCGTACAAGAACATGGTCAAATGAAATTCTCAACGCAATTGACGAGAAGAGAGACTGGTCGAAGTGTCTTCCAACAATCCTTAAGTGGAATGAAAAGGCAGGAACCGTCAGAAAAGAGATTGCTGACAAGTACGGCTTCCCATCCGATGTAATCGTTTCAAGTGGCGGCGGAGACAACATGATGGCTGCTATCGGTACTGGTAATGTTAAGCCAGGCGTTATTACATGCTCATTAGGCACATCTGGAACCATTTTCTCATACGCAAGTTCTCCAATTGTTGATAAACAAGGAGAATTAGCTGCTTTCTGCTCAAGTAACGGCGGATGGCTTCCTTTGATATGTACAATGAATGTTACAGTGTCAACAGAACAAGTTCGTAACTTATTAAGAGTTGATATCAAAGAATTCAACAATTTGGTCATCCAAGCGAAGCCAGGATCCGATGGATTACGTCTCTTACCATATTTCAATGGCGAGAGAACCCCTGCAAGACCAAGAGGACATGCAGTTTTCTCTGGAATCACATCTTCGAACTTTACACGCGAAAACATGGCCAGATGTGCCATGGAAGGTGCAACAATGTCAATCAGATATGGCATTGACATCCTCGAGAGATGTGGAATCAAGAAAGCTGAAGTAAGATTAGTAGGTGGTGGATCAAAGTCTTTAATTTGGAGACAGATCATCGCTGACATCTTTGATTGCCCTGTTGTCATCCCAGATGCAGCCGAAGCTGGTGCAATGGGTGGTGTTTTGCAGGCAATGGCATGCGCAACAGGAAAGGACCTTATCGAGTTATGTGATGAACACGTGAAGGTCTCTGGATCAAAGTTGATGCCAATTCCTGAAAATGTCAAAGTATATGAAACTGTATACAAAGAATATTTGAAACTCGACAAAGCTTCACAGCAGCTTTAAAACTCCCATGTAAAAAGAACTTATTTAATAAAAATGATTGATTTTTTTCGCCAACTATTGATAATTAATGGAATTTCAATAAATTTTATTTTTCATTTTCTATATTATAGAAATTGAATAAATGTAAAGCCTGCGTAGCATAGTGGTTATTGCGTGCGCCTTGTAAGCGCAAGGTCGCCGGTTCAACTCCGGTCGTAGGCAAAATTATTTTTCAAGGTTAAACATTGAAATTTTTTTATCATGATAAATTTTACTAGTGTGATATCCAAGTCAATCTTTGCATGGAAAATAACAAAACTCAGTGTAAAAGTCGTTGATAATTAGAAATTATTATAATTTAAAACATTTTTTGAGCTCTCTCGATGATCTTCTTGAAAATCGGATGCATCATGTATTCTTCATTAATTTTGCATACTTCGTCAACAGGGATCCATCTAACCCCACTATTTTCATCGGGTTTCACAACAAGTTGTTCATTTTCATCTGCTTCGAGTATGTATGTTAAATTAATGTGTTGATGGCTTGATACCCATTTTCCGTTCTTTACATGTCCCCATACAGGAATAATATCTAGGCATACTGGTTCCGGTGAGACAACACGAACATTTACGCCTGTTTCTTCTTTGGCTTCCTTCATTGCTACATGGAGGAAGTCTGGATCACCATCATTGTGGCCGCCGGTCCAAGTCCAAGATTTGTAAATGTTATGGTAGATGAAAAGTGTTTTTGTACGATCCTTATTGAAGATAAAGGATGATGAGGAAAAATGAGCGAAAAGGTTTGTCCTTAATAACATATTATCAAAGGAATCGATATATCGGAGTGTAGTAAGTCTATCTTAAACTTCCTGGTCGCACTGGGGTTTAAAATCCTCAATAACTTTCCTTAACTGTTTGTTGATTTCTGGCGAACTCATTCTATCAAAAATCGTCACTTTTCTTTCAAAAAATACAAATAAAAATTCCATATTTCAAAAGCGTTTATATAAATGTTTTTAATTGAAATTTGCGTTTACAAATGTTGGCACTTTTAATGGTCAAAAAACGAGTGCTGTCAGCCTTTGCATACCTCAAATTCATAAATCTACTTTGCAATTTAGCATGCTTTCAGTTTCCCGTAGACAAAATTTGTGTTTGTTTGCATAATTATAATCTATTTTTATATTTTATTTTTTATTGCTGAATTCTTTAAGCATTTTCACTAGTTTTAAACTCACTAAAAATGAAAATTATTATCTCAATGGAATTTGATAATTCTTAATTAATCCAAGCATGTGAACAAACTCATATGTCAGTGTATATAGTTCTATATAAACATCAAATGAAATCTGATTATGCAAAGCATAAATCTATATGTTGTTGATGGATAAATGAACTTTATATCTTTCTTCAATTGGTTACAGATATGTTTTATAGGTGTTTGCATTTGGCAATACCTATGAAATTGAGCAAAGCCAAATTGCAATTTGAACTTCTTGGATAAAATGAAAAAAATGAACAAAAGATCATTGGATTTTAGATATTGTTTTTTTGAATATTTACCGATATCGTTTTAATCCAATTTTTTCTGAGAATTAATCGGAATAATAAACTCCTTTTTTTTATTTAGGTACCCTATTCAATTTCTATCGTCACCATATGGAGAGGTCAGGCCCATATCATAAAACATTAAGTTTGGACTTACTAAGACATGTAAGAATTACCTTGCTTGTATAGGGGCATTAAATACTTTTAGATGCTAAAATCTTCAAAATTAATTTAATTTGATATTCAAAATATGCACGAAAACGTAAATAAATACGGATCTAGCTCTCACATATCTCTATTTTAAGCATTGATAAGTATTTCTACATTCTATTTTAAAAAATATTCAAATTTCACAATATTCTTTTCATTGATAATCTACATATTAACGAGAATGATATAACTTTTCATGTGTTTAGAAGTTCTTAGCTTTAGTACTGTATTGTTGAAAAAATTATTGAAGACTTTTTTCTTTTTGAGAAATTAATGCAATAACCAAAGAGGAATTGCATATGCTGCGCACTAAAATTATAGAAATGTCTCTAATTAGACACAAATAGAGATATTCGGAAATAAAAATTTGAAATTTTGATCAAAAACGCTATTTTCTAATCATTTTTATTTTAACTATATATAAAGTATCTTTTTCTATAATTTATACTTGATGGTTTAAAAGACGTTTAGACTCAAAATTTTACTGCATTTCATGTGGTAACTATGCTTTATCACTAACTACCTCCTTGTTTCAACCCTGAACAATATATTATACCTCCCAATGCAGGTATTACTCCAACAAAATTAGCAATTTGGCTATTGTCTAAAATTTTCTCAAAGAAAGAGAGTAAAGTCCCATTTTTAGAATTCGAGCTATATTAGAATGCAACTTAGACAAAAGGTTACAGTTTCAATACACATATTCAAAAAATTTGCATTCGAAATTTAAGATAAAGTACAATTTCCAAAAAAGAGTATCGAATCAGTGCACAAATATGCATTTACATGCTTACACTAGCTTGCACTAGTATTAATAATTTTGAAATTAATTTTCAAATTATTCCCATACCTTTTGCAAAATTATTATGCTTATGATTCTAAGCATAGTTAAGCGATCTCGAATTTGAATTGCTAAGAAAAAATAATTAGTAAAAAATTTGTCTATGCATTCTGTATGATGCTACTAACTATATTAGCAGCATACCTAAAATCTTTTCAATATTTTTGAGGGAATTTGAATGGTACCGGTTGAGAGCTTTTTTAATTAAGGTACTATTTCGATAGAATTTGAATGGTACCCCTTCAATTTTGTGAGGGACCCCCTTTCATTTTTTGAATAGGGTACCTTAAATGAAAAAAGGACCTTAGTTTATGATTTCATATCGAAAATGGAGCTTTAAAAGAATATGTCAAATGTACTATGTTAAAATGGACTCAGTTTTCTGATCATTGATCCGAAAAGTTTAACCTCCAAAGTCATTTTTTTTAATCATGCTGAGCCTTTTCTACATTTATTGTTTGTCATTGAAAGTAGCAATCAATGACATCGAATACGAAGGTAATTCCCTTGATGATATACTAGAGAATAATAAAATCAAGAAAGATTCAGTGAAAACGATTCACGTTTTATCAGGTAACTTTGACATGAAAGGATTTGCATCGAGAGATTATTCAAATCTTGAAACATTTGAACTTGAAGATGGCTGCTACAGCGGTCTAATTTCCAAAGATAATTTCGGATATTCAAAAAGTCTTAAAACTGTCAGAATATATAGTGAAATAACTACTGAGAAATTCTTCCTATATGGTAGCAACGTCACAGAAATCTGTTTCACAAATTTGAAAGATGAAAATTTAAGTTCATCCTATAAAACAGATAATCTTCAAAATATTACATTGATTGGTCCAACAACAATTTCAGATTATGCATTTGCTTTTTGTAAATTATTAACTACCGTTTCAATTCCAAATGCAACAATTATTAAAGAAAGTGGCTTTGATTCTTGTAAATCACTTAAGAACATAAATATGCCACATCTTACAATTGCTAATCATTCTGCTTTCAGTGGTTGTAAGGCTCTTGAAACAATTAATTTTGAAGAACTAACAACAATCGGTGATTTTGTTTTCGAGGATTGTGAATCACTTAAGAATGTAAATTTGCCACATATTACAATTGCTAATAACTCTGTTTTCAGTGAATGTAAGGCTCTTGAAACGATTAGTTTAGAAGAACTATCAACAATTGGTGACTTTGCTTTCTTAGAATGTGAGTCCCTTAAGAATGTAATTTTGCCACATATTACAAGCTTCGGTCAATCTGCATTTAGTGATTGTGGTTCACTTGAAACAATCGAATTTAATGAAGTAACATCAATGGGTAAATCTGCATTTTACAATTGCAAATCTCTTAAAAATGTAACAATTCCTCACATCAAAATTGTTGGTGAATCTGCATTTTATAACTGCCAAGAACTTGAAACAGTAAACTTTGAAGAAGTAACTGCTATTAATGAAGATGGATTCAATCAATGTAAGTCTCTGAAAAATGTAAATATTCCTCATCTTCAAACTATTGAATACCAAGCATTTATTGATTGTAAATCACTTGAAACAGTTAATTTTGAAGAATTAACAATTGTTGGTACAGAAGAATTTTCTTCATGCAAAGCTCTTAAGAATGTAAATATTCCACATCTCCAAACTATTAATGAATGTGGATTTGATAGATGTGAATCACTTGAAACAATTGAATTCAACGAAGTAACATTTTTAGGCAAATGGGCTTTTTTAATGTGTAGTACATTAAAGAATGTTCAACTTAAATCTGTGAAAACACTTTCAAGAGGATGTTTTGTATCATGTACATCAATTGTTGAACTTAATCTATCATCTGTAACAGAGATCATCGATAATACTGTATTTTCTTATTGTCCATCATTAAAGACTTTGATATTAACAAATTTGGAAAGAGTAAATTCAAGTTGTGCTGATATATTTGATTTTTGTTTTGATCTCAAGGATATATACTTTGGCAATTATCCGCCTAATGAATTCCATAAAAACATATCATTTAAAGGTATGACTGTTCATATTCCATCAGAGGATTCTTGGGGAAATTATGTTCCTCAATCTCAAGAAATTTCATCACCTCGATAATAAATGGCATGATTTCGAATTCATCTATTATCCACCTCCAACAGAAACGCCATCACCAACATATCCGCCAACAGAAACACCATCACCAACATATCAGCCAACAGCAACACCATCACCAACATATCAGCCAACAGCAACACCATCACCAACATATCAGCCAACAGAAATACCATCACCAACATATCAGCCAACAACAGCAACAGTTTTACCAACATCGCAACCAACAACCACAACAACAACAGCAGGATCACCAACACCAGATGATAAGCAAAGAAGTAAGAGAGTTGTAGTGATTTCATCTACTGTTTCTGTTGGCATTCTCATAATCATTGTTATATTAGTAGCATTAGTTCTTATCTCAAGAAAGAGGAAACAAGTAGAACTTCTTCAATCTCAACCTCTATTGACTCAAAGTTAATTAATAAACAAATTTCTTTTATCTAATATTTTATGGTTTTTAATCTGAGATTTTTGCTGATTTTACGAAATACCAAAATAGAATCTTCACCATTTATTTTAGCCAAAAAAGAGTTTTAAAGAAAAACTTCTGAGTTCATAGCTGCATGATATTGTGAATTTTTGTTTGTATTTGTAATTATATCACAAGTTATATATGATTCTGATCATGATATAGCTTCACTATGCATGGATTCATCTTAAATACGAAGTATTTTATGATGAAATATGTTACTCTTAATTAGTGTGTAATTCATCATAATTCTAGCTTAGTTTGAAAATTACTGTATTAAACGGGATAGTTAGATTCAAAGTTATATATAATCGAATGATTGTAATGGAATGACTGGCATGATATTGATGGATGCTTCTCATTGTTGTGTTTTGATCACATGCATTATAGAAAATTAGAAATATCATTCTTAATATTTATTAAGAAACATGTGAATGAATCAAGGATATTTCACTGGATTTGAAGTAATAAATAATAAATTTGATTTATACTTATAAACGCCCATAAATATTGATATATGATTTTCTATATTTGAAAGAAAAAATTCAAATTTGTAAATTATATTTATAAAGTTATTGGATATTCGTATTTTAACTATCAATCATATATTTTTAGTTATCGGTGATATATATTATATAAGAATCAAATAAATATCTACAAGTTTGATCAAGATAATTTTTTTGCCAGATGATTACCATAAATTGAATGTTACACAATATTTGAAAGAAGCATGATCAAATCTGATCAGATTTAATTTTTAGGATCAATAACTATGGTTTCTAGTAATTTTTCCTTGTAAGAAAAATGGAATAATCATTATCATTCCATCGATTTCGAATGATCAACCAAAATATGAATTAAAATTTGAAGTTCTTTAGCACAATAAAGCAATTTTTTAATGAAAAAAATTGAAAATATGTTTTTGAATGCAAATAAATTTACGGTTTCTGACCTGCCGAATTCAATTTTCTTAACTGCTTCCTTCAATTTATTTAATATTATCATTTATTCATGTTGAACCTTTTATGCATATGCTGCTTATCATTGAATGTGTCAATCAATGATAAAGTATATGAAGGTACTTCTCTTGAAGACATACTAGATAGAAATCAAATAACGAAAAGTTCAGTGATAGCAATTCATGTTTTATCAGGTGATTTTGATATGAATGGATTTTCTTCGAAAGATTATTCAAATCTTAAATCATTTGAACTCGAAAATTATTGTTATACAGGTTCAATTTCACAAAATAATTTTGGTTATTCAAACTCTCTAAAAGTCGTTAGAATATACAGCGAAATAACAACAGAAGAAAAATTTATATCAAATAGTAGCAACATTGAGGAAATTTGTTTCACAAACTTGAAAAATGAAACTGTTAACAATGACTACGTATCACCAAATATCAAAAATGTCACATTGATTGGTCCAATAACAATTTTAGATCATGTATTTGAAAATTGCAGTTCTCTAATATCGATTTCAATTCCAACAGCTATATCAATTGGTTTTTCCACTTTTTCTAATTGCAAATCTCTCGAGAATGTGAATATTCCTAATATTACAAATCTTGGGGATTCTGCATTTTATTCTTGCTTGGCCCTCAAAACAATTGAATTTCCTAAACTAACTAAAGTTGGCTATATGGCTTTCACTGGCTGTGAATCCCTTAAGAATGCAAATATTACTCAACTAGCAGAAATTGGTCCACTTGGATTTGCCCTTTGTAGTGTACTTGAAACAATAAACTTTGAAGAAGTAATATCAATTGGTCATTCAGCCTTTTTTAGATGTTATTTTCTTAAAAATGTAAACATGCCTCATCTTAAGAATATTACTGAAAAGAGTTTTCAATATTGTGTTGCACTTGAAATGGTAAACTTTGAAGAAGCAACGACAATTTCTGAATATGGCTTTTATCAATGTGAATCTCTGAAAATTGTACACATTCCTCATCTTTAAAGTTTAGGATCTAATGCATTTGCATATTGCTATTCGCTTGAAACAATTGAATTTCAAGAATTATCATCAGTTGGAACTATGTCATTTTATCATTGCTCAACTCTCAAAAATATAAACATTCCAAAACTTAATTTCATCAATGAAAGTGGGTTCGGATATTGTTTAGAGCTCGAATCAATTGAATTCACCCAATTAACTTCTAATAAAGATTATGCTTTCGCAGAATGTGTTTCATTAAAAAATGTTCGACTTAACTCATTACAAAATATTTCACTTTCTTCTTTCTGTAGATGTTTATCACTTACCATGCTCAGTTTATCGTCTGTGACAAATATACTTGGTGATTGTGTATTTTCAAATTGTACAAAACTTGCAACTTTGATTTTGTCAAATCTGAAGCTTGTTAGTTCCGATTATCTTCTTTTGTTTGATAACTGTTCAAATCTCAAAGATATTTACTTCGGCAATATGCCACCTAATAAACTCTCTCCCAACATTTCATTTGAAGGAATGAATATACATGTACCATCATGGGAAAATTATATATCTCAATCTGAAGAAATTTCGCCAAACCACTATAAATGGCATGGTTTCGAATTCATATATCATCCAATAACACCCGAACCAACAACATATGAGCCACTATCAAGTTCTCCAACACAAAATACTGATAAACAAAGAAAGAAAAGAGTTATTTTGATTTCGGTTTCTGTTTCAATTATTATAATTGTTATCATAGTAATATTAGCAATATTACTCCTGATTACACGAAATAAGAGAAAAGGAGAATTGATTACATCACAGGCACTTATAATGCAAACATAATTCATAAACATCAATTTTAATCTATATTATTATTTTTATTTTGAATTATATAAATAATTCATTGGACTCCAATTAAAATGGAGCTTATGAATGAAGAACAAAGAAGAAAATTTGTATTGAATTTTGTATATCCAAGTACAAATGTATATAGTCAGTAAATTGATACTAATAGAAATCAAAACAATATCCAAGAATAAAGATATTTAATACATACAAAATTATGATGAAACTTATGTTACATACCATATAAATTACCAACTATTCAATCATATCTTTTCAAATATCAATAAATTAACAATTCGTCATTTTGCCCTTCAACTACAATTGTGTGAATACGTGGTAATGGATATTGCCAGTAAGTAAAGAGGGCATATTAATATTTTTCATAAAAGTTACAAAAAATGTAAAAATATGTATATCATTGTATAATATTATTCTAATATTGAGAGAATAAAAGAATTAATAGCAAATATTGTATTTAACTTGGATGTGTTGTACTCATTTTTTATGAAACAAGTTTTATATCTGATTCTTCTTTACATTTTAATCTTTATTTATTGGATTATTATGAAAGGATCGGATGGAAACTTTGATATGACGCTGTTACTTATACTATCATCAGTAATGGCTCAATTTATTTCTGCAATTTCTTGGATGGTCACATATTCAGTATCATTTTTCTTTCAATTGCGTACAATGAAAGATCTAACATTCAAGAGATTGTCATTTTTATCTGATTTCTTTGCAGGACTTTTTCTTTTCGGAATTCCGATAATTTTAATGGCAAATTCTGATTTCAAAGAGAGCTTAATGATCAAAAATTTGCAATTTATAATCTTACCTATCAGCGTTTTGATCTTCAATCCATTTTCTTCAGATGATTTAAATAGAAAAGCAAAATTATCACTATTATTTTCAGGTCTTTGCTCATTGTTCTTCATAATACTATATGTCAAAATCTCTCATCTATCAAATATTACTTTCATGAATTTCTTACAGATTAATTTTTCAATTCTCAGTTTTGCATTCGGAATTTTCATAGTCAAATCTAAAATTTCGATTGGAATGCCAATACTTAGTTCAGTTTTCTACTCATTTGGAGTTCTTTTTGCAGCAATAATTTTGCCATTCTTTAAATTTGATAGTTTTTCAAGTTTCATTAGTGCATTTACTTATATTAATCTAGACATGCTGTATTTTCCTATGCTGCTCGGTATTTGCATTATTCCTCCGATTTTTACATTAACTGCTTACGTTTTAAGCCAAAACACTACTGTTATATCTGCAGTTTTATCAAACATACTAATGATATTAGTTGCAGTTTATGATGTCTGGAAAAAAACGTATTTTTCAGAAATATCAAGTGATGTCCTTGTGATCTTAATGATTTTAACATTTTTGTTATCGATATTCACATATGTTCCGAAAGCAGATACAAGGTACCAGATTCTACCTGTTTAAACTCGGAATTCTTCTTAATTTTTATATTATTTTGTTAGTAGTTTATATTATATAATAAAATTCTTTTGTATCTTTCTCATGTTACGTAATTTTTCGATTTATTACATTCAATATTTCAAATTGAAACTGAAAATAATTTTGATGCGTTCAGAAAGTCTGTTAATATATGAAATTTACTCTGGAATCAGTAGTTGGTTTTAAATTTCATCTAAATCTTGATTCAAGGGATTTTTGCCCTAATTTGAAAAATCCATATGAAAAAGAGCAGCAAAAGCAAAGAAAGTCAAATGCATAGAACTCCTAATATAATAAAAGCATATATTATCTTCAACCGCATATTCTTGCCTCATCGATATTTCAACAGTCTAAAATGTATCCCGAATCCATAGAATATTGAATGCAAATCAAGCTCAATCATCCTTGTTGCCTTGTATATCGTATTTTCATCATTATTTAATGAATTCGATATAAAATATATTTATGACATGATAAATTAATTATATTTAATATTGCAAAAATTAACCATGTATTGAATACTATTGATCAAGTGAATATTAAACATAAATGAAGAAATTAATTAAATTTAAAATATGAAGATTAAATGGAACCGATTTATCATATGACCTAAATTTGTAAGGCATTAGAAAAGATATGTACAATTCGAATATGTTAATAATTAATCTTTGAATTTATAAAGCAAGATTGTTTATGCTGATAAGCATGAAGATGTATTAAATCTGATCAATAAAAGATATATATCACAATTCTAAAGCCAATTATCCGTTTAATGAGCACTGTGGAAAAATTAAAATGCGCATTTACATTAGAATTTTTAAGGTTAAGTTTTTTTCCATAATAACTTTCACACAAATACTCGTGTCCTAATAATTATCAATTCAAATTAAATCTCTCTATTTTTTGAATGAGTTTTATTTTTGACGCTTTCAATTAATTCTGAGCATTACATTTTATTTGTATTTTTCTATAGGAATAAACAAATCAAAATTGAAGGGCTGATTATTCAATCAGAATTGAGTGATTAATATTATTCCCATAGTATTCTTCATTATACAAACTTATTAATTGATGGTTATTTTATATAAGAAGTATTGAAATTCAATCAAAAGTGCATTTTCAACAATCGGAATTTATAAATGTCGGTTTTATCTTCAGAGGAGTTGCGGCAAGCAATTTTATTATTGAGGCAAAGACGATAAGTCTCATTTGGTTCTCAATTTTTCTGAGACTCTCAAAAATGTTCAATAAATGGTCCCAAATTTTATGAAAATTTATTTTATGATTCTGCATTTCGTGTGTTTATCTTGTTCATTGAGTGATTTAGATCCATTGGTTACGCAAGAGATGGTTGATGCAATAAACAACAATCCAAATTCGCCTTTCAAAGCAACACTTTATCCTAAGTTCGCAAAAATGAAGATTGGAGATGCAAAACGATTTTTATCTCCAGTTCGTCCGCCACAACATCATCAAGGTTCTGCTGTTCCAGTCGGTGCCAACGAATATTTTTTTCAATTTTGTTGACCGAAATTATATCACAGGATTAACAAACGTTGCAGCATTTCCAAATTTAAGAAATGCTTCAAATCAAAACGATACTAATGTCCATCCAGGTCGATCAATCAAACCAACAGAGTTTGTTAAATTCCCAGTATTTGATGTCACAGCATTGTGTAGTTCTTGGGCACCTTCCGTGACATCGGCAATGACAATATCAGTTTCACGATGGGCAGGAGAATTTGTCAACTTTTCACTTCAATTTATTCTCGATTGTGATATAATTGGTGATTCATGCGTTGAAAGAACTCCTCTCTTTGCATATAAACCTTTCTGGACATACCATCCCCCAGAATACGAATCATGGGATACGCCAGGTGATTAGCATGATAAAATTAAATCAGAACGTGATACATTTATGCAAGCACCACGTTCTGATTTTTCAAGGGAAAATTGCAATAATAATAGATGTTACCCAGGATTATCTGGTTGTAAACATCATTGGGCACTTACAGGAAGCTGTGACCCAGGTGCTCCAGAAACAGGTTGCCCACTCTATTTCCTTTACAATTGGCGTTATATCAAATCGCATCTATGGGAAGTGGGCGCAGTTACTTCTTCCATCACAGTTTATTCATCTCTTTTTACGTATGGTGGGGGAATTTATTCAGGATATTGGAAAAATGATGATTCGATAAAAATAGAAGGAAATGAAGCCATAAATGAAGGCTGGGGAGAAATACTTGGCATGCTTGATGTGACAATCATAGGATGGGGACAAGACCAACTAAATCTATCAAGTACTTCAGGCTACTCTACCAAACTCAAAAGATGGTGGTGGGTGATTCCCTTTTTTGAGTTAATTTTGGGATTGCATATTCTAACTGTGTAGCTGATCCAGATAATCCAATGGAAAAGGGAGATATGAACTGCAAGGAAACGCATAATGATATTCGAGATGTATATGACCAAATAAAATTAGAACCATTAGAAATTGTTGGTAGTGGTAATGGTAAACAAGGCAATAATATAAAAGGATTCATGAGATTCAATAGAATGTTTGACGATTGTAATATTGAATCTAATTCAATTGGTGCTGTTCCATATAATTTTGTTCCTCTACCTCATAGAACACCTTCTCCGACAGAAAATAATGTTTGAATAATATGTATTATGGATAATTACTAAATTTGACATTAAATTTAGAAAAAATCCAAAAGATTATGAATGTTTATTTAAATGTTCTTTCCGGATATACTTTTTATCTATTTCAAATTGTCAGGAAGAGAAAATACTAGATTTTTTAGATCTTTCGATCAACGACTAACACTTCAAATTAAATCGGATCAAACATATTTGCCATAAGACAAATAATAAATCAAACAACCGCTTTTTTTAAATTTTCATTCGATCAATTGAATTGATTGAATTAGATTTCCCATAAAAAAACATCCGACCATGGGAACTTTTCAAGTATCAAACACAATGAAAGCATTCGTTTACATCAAACCCTGTACGTTTTCTAGCTTCATAAAATGCAATCATCCTTCAGCAATGTTCTCATTTATAATTTGCCTATTATTTTGCTTAATCTTTTTTTATTTTTTGGTCGTTTTATTTAGGAAATCAGGACTTAAACTCAAAAATAGTATGAATGCAGGATGTTGTTTTAGTTTTCTTTGCATTTTATTTTTTCTATTAGCTTATTTAATACAATATGCCTTTCATGCGAATGCATTAATCTTTGATTATTCTCCATATATCAAATTATACTTTTTTACTGTTGTTTGGAAAAATTTGGGTCAAGCAATATTTTTAGTTCAAGTTTGCAAGATTCTATATATCTTCAAAGCACCTTTTGGTAAGACAGCATATTAAGTTTGCAAGGTTTTTCAATATTCATTAGTTCTATATCAATTTGTACATATCGCTTTTGTTTTCACTAAATTTGAAACAGGTTCTACTTTACAAGCATTTATATTTGATGGAATATATGCGAGGTTTCAAATACCATTGTATTGTCTCTTTAATTCATTAGCAATTATTGTTCTATCGATATGTTTTATTTTTTCAGTCATAAAGGATTATTTTTCACATAAAATGTGTGTTAACATCAAGATCTTGATGTTTATTTTCTCTTTCCAAACTTTCTTCGATTTGTCAGCAGTAAAATTTAAGAGAACAGTATTATTTACGAAAATAAAGTATATTGACACTGATAAATTCATGTGGATGCATAGTATAATTGAAGTATTCCATGCGTACATTGAAAATTTATTGATGCTCATAATAATCATTCTTTTGTCTGAATCTGATAAAAACGAAGAGGACATAAATAAATCAGCTGATAAGATCTTTGAATCCCTCAGTTTGGATGTTTAATTCATACAATTTTAAATTATTTTAAATAATTAGTTGTTTTTATGTTAGTTGACTTCGTATAATATATTGACAGGAATTGTTGTCAAAAATTCTCGAATTTATTGATATTTTATTACTAATTTGTTTGATTCATTCAAAAATGATAATTTTTTGAAATGAATCAGTTGTTTTACTTGTATAAATCTTGTTTATCATGATAGCCATCCTATTTATGTATTTTTCTTGTTTTAGATGATATCTTATGTTTTCTATCTTAATTTACTCAGTTTTATAATTAATCAATAACTTTAATCAGGAAATCCATTTAACAACTAATAGTATTGTACATGTGTTACAAATTTCTCTGAAATATATATAAATTTGATTCATTTCTTTATGAATTTTAAAACAATTTGCGTTCCGATTCACAATTTTTGGTAAGCCTTTCCTATTTGTCAGTACCTTATATCATTCTCATAATTTTTGAAATCAGATTAGATTTAACTTATTTAGGACTGGGAGGGATTAATATATTATCTTTATTGTTTATTAAGATTGTTGTTATTGTTATGAATGAGTTTCGAAAAATAAATTATAGGATATATGAAAAATGTGATCGATTGATACAGATCCAAGAAGGATAGATAATGCTGTCCAGAATAGTGATAACAAGACGACCATTGCCTTCTCAGATACCTGGATATATCTTGACGTCACTGAAAACATAGCCATCCTTAAGACTTCATTTAAATTTTCGAGACTTTAGACATTTCAATCTTGCTATTCGAATAGACTACGAAGAAACTTTCTATAGGATTATGTACACACATAGAATAGTATATATATCGAATATATTTTCATTGAATGATATCAATACTGTATCCTTGGATAAAGGAATTTTAGATTCTTATAAGTTATGAACATGGTGTGATAAATAAGAGAAATTCTAAATGGATATCTTTATTGGATTACTATCTAATACATAGTATAAAAGTTATGAAAGAACTATATATATTTGCACTTATTTGGATGTCACATATCCTTGCAATGTTAATTTTAGTCATGTGTGTAAATGTCATAAAATAATTTTATAAAAAAAAACACTACCGAAAGTATTTATTCAAAAACAACGCCTTCGCAAGATTCGTGGATATCGAATGTAGATTCTTCAATCATCTGAGTGATTGATACTAAATCAAAGCTGTCTTGTACATAACTATTCGCGCTTTCGAGATTCAAACTAGTAAATCTTTCTGCTGCAGGTGAAAAGTAGTCAATTAGGTTGATCTTGATGTCGCCAGGACATGGGATTGGTCCAAGTAAGTCGTTGTCCGAAACTGTGATCAAATCTTGAATAAATTTCGGAATTGAAGCGAAAAGCGGATAAACGTACTTTTCGTTAAGTTTTACGAGTTCTGGAGGTGATCTATCAGCTTCCCATCCATGGAAATAGAAAACATTCATAATTGACTGAGAAATTTTTGAGATGAATTTCATGTTTTCTTTATTTTGGGCCGTAAACTCTGGGAAAACAAATCTCAGTAAGAACAAGTTCGGAATGACTATGATTGGCCCGACTTCGTTTACGCAATGGTTCAAAGCTCTGATGAAAAAGCATCTTAGAATGGACTTGATGGGGTTTGGAAGGTAGGATACGCTATTGACAATAGCGTTGAATGTGGGGTGGAAGACGTTTTGAGCGAAACTAATGGCTTGTTCCATATCCATATCATTTGATTGGAAATTAGCTGAAGTATTGTTAACAATCGCGTTCAGCTTGAGTACTATATTAGCAAGGAATGTCTTTCCGATCTCTTTGAGAAGGCAGGACGTAACAGTTGTTAATAATGAATTTTGTCTGAGAATAATGTTATTGGATTGTAGTTCTTCGAGGTTATTCTCAATGATGCATCGATAAAATGGGTAGATCTTGTTGCCAATAAGCGAAACAAAGAAAAGTGCATTTTTATCTGAAATTTTTGTTTCTTCTGGGGGTAAAAGCATAGCGTAAAATAATAATTGGCATCCATTCGATGAGATTATCTGGTCGAGATTCGAATTTACTTCAGGAGGTAAAACATATTGAACATTTTTGAAAAATTTTTCAATGTTATTTAGAGAAGATATGGAGCTAAGGAATGTAGTAACATGATTAAAACCGATAGGTGTATCTGAAATGTAGATTCCGAGAACGATTTCGGCTGCTCTTTTGTTTGGAAATTCGATTGAAAATTCTGGAGTAATTCCTCCTAAGAAAATTTCAAGAATGCAATCGTCTTGAATAACTGTATATTTCGACGGGTTCAAGATATTGATGACATTTGCCTCAACAACATCAAAAATTCGAAATGTTCCATCAGAAAGCAATTTTATGAATGCTGGTGTTTTGTTTTTCTCTTTATCGATGATAAAGCAGGGACTGATGTATATAGTTTCGAAATTAACAGTAAAACTCGTAAAGATTTTGCTATCTTGAGGAATTAAAGCTTGTGTAAACATTTTTGATAATGGAAATGAATATTTAGTTACTTCGTATTCGCCAATTGATTGTAATATACGAGAATAAATGTGAATTATTGTAATATATTGGATATATTGTTTGTGAGTGAAACGTTGCTTAATTCTCTCGAGTGAAATATTGAGATCTAATAAGAAAGTATGCAATTCATCGAGTGTAAAGATGTTTTTGAAACAGCTAACAAATGTTGCAATTTTCGTAAGAGTTGGAAGCTCGTTAAATTCAGCAGGCACAATGTTTTCGGATTTGTTAAAATGTTCGCATGTATAAATGAAAATTTCGCTGTCTTCTTTGAAAGATTCGATAATTGTATCAAAAAAGTCAGGAAAAACAACTAAAGGCTCTTGGACTTTCATGGTTTCAGCCCAAATCGAATTCATTTCTTCATAATCTGGTTCATCAAGTTTCCGAAATTTTCGAGCAATGTACATTCAAAAAAATTAATTTTGCCAAATAAACTTCAAAAGTAAATATTTAAAAGCTAATAAATTACATGTAATGTTTATAAAAATTTAAGAAGAATAAAGGCAATTCGGAAATGTTGAGATAAATGTGTTAAAAATTGAACGAATTATGTTGAGATTAATTCATTTGATATAATGGAGATATTCATTTAAGGAGCATGAACTAATTTACTCAGATAAAATTAGATTTATTAATTATAAATACTTTAGAAAGAACGCTTTCGGAAATCGGTCATAGTGTAATGGTTATCATGTAAGATTGTCGTTCTTTTGATCCGGGTTCGATTCCCGGTGACCGAGCTTTTTTGCATTTTTAAAATTGATCAAAATCTTATTTGTGATTTGTTGCATGTTTTCAAGAACTTTTTTTCCATTTCCAGCCTGAATCATGATTGTTACTAAATTATGCTTGTTAAAACATAGTATACAGAAGAGGGATCTAAGCTGTAAACCTAGATTTCACAAAATATAATACCAAAGATTCGTCAAAAATGCTTTTTTGCTAATTGAACCATTTCAAAATAGGGCCTATATTTCAACGATACTGTAATAACAAATTGGATAGCAAACGAAACTATAACTAAACGATAGAAAAAGCGCGGGAAAAAGTACGATAATTGTGTTTCACATGATTTAAGATGCAAAATAATTACTTTGGTTCCCAGGGATCTGGCTTTTTTCTAGATCAGAATTATCCTCCACAAGATAATAAAGCAGGAGGAGAACCCAATGAATCAATGATGGGCCAAAGTTCTGATAATTTCCTTGCATATCAAGATTTATTTGTACAAGAGATGGCCCGCCAATATCAAATGCAACAAATGCAATACTACAGAGATCAGACACAACCACCACAGACAGAGAATCGCGAAAAACCTAAAAGATCAAATTCAAATCTAAATCGTCAATCTGAACATAAGCCAAAAGACCACCATAAACAGCATAAATCTGGAGATGAACATTCAAAAAGTCAACCAGCTAAAGTGGTTGACCTTAATATTTGGCATCTTTCGAAAAGTTTTTTCAGAACTATACCTTCAAGTGAAAAAATTGATCGAGTATTTCAAGGAAAACGCCAACCTGCCCCCATTGATTACATGGATAAAACGACATGGAAAGAAATTATAGCTGAAATTATTATTAATTGTCAATCTACAAATCCGGAACTTGCCAAACAGATGAAAATACCTTCATCTATAATATCTGGTGTTTCAACAAAGGTTAAAGTCGATGAAGATACTCAAGATAACTTATTTCCTACAGAAACTATGACGTCAGGGAGTCTAGTTTTTCACAGACTTGTTTCAAGCATAATACCGATTAAAAATCAACCATCCCGTCAAGGAAAAAAATCAACATCGGATACTAAATATTTTCCTACTCCAAATGCACTTCTTCCGAGACTTGAAAATCATAAGTATCTTGCATTAGATTTTGAAACACGTTTAAAATGCGAACTCGATAGTTTAGGTCTCGATACTTATTACGTTGAAGAACCAAAGATAAGGAACTCTTTTCAGCAAGAAATCGATAATTATTACAAAGAACTTCGTTCTGTTAAATCAGAGTTAGATACTGAAAGAAGTGCAATTATCCAATCTTTACCTTCATTTAGAAGAGAACAGAAGGCTCATCAAGCCAAAATAGAGACATATAAAGCGATGGTAGCTACACAAAACAATGATAACTATATCTCTCCTCGAAGAAAACGCAAATTGTGAAGTTAATTTTTGATTATTGTGTGAAGCTTTGTTTGTAACTTATATTATTATCATGTTACCTTTATATTAGTTGTTTGTATTTATAAAGTTTGTATGATATTAATTGAGAATCCTGATTTTTCTTTCTTCTGTGAACAATCGATGTTATAATTTGCAGTACACATGACTCAACTGTAAAATTCTGCATCATAAAATGATAATCGACAAATAAATAATACTCAATATGTGATTTGATTCTAGAAATTTATGACAAAATACAATATTCTTATATTTACTATCATTTTTACGTATTAGAAAATTCAAACCCCTTCCAAAAATATTAATTCTTTTAATTTTAATTAAGGGTGCACCCGTATGTACGTTTATTTGAGAGGAGGAGGATTACCCTCTCAATTTTGAGGGATTCGTTAGTTTATTTTCTCGATGAATATGCAATAAAATTTGATTTTTACCTTATCAATATACTTCATATAATATACACATGTTCATGTAAAAACTTTTTCCCAAAATCCTCAGGAATTAAGGGATTTTTGAATTTTAAGAATTTTTTTCGAATTTTTTCGAAAAAAAAATATTTTCAGAACAGCCTTAACGGCTAAGATTTAGGAACAATGTTAAGTATCAAAAAGAAAGGAGGTCTGATATAGACAACATATAAAAAAAAAAAAAAAAAAAAAAAAAAAAGGTATTGGGGCTTCCAGGCACTTCGTGCCTTCTAGCCCTGAAGATGTTTAGTATAAATGAAGTCTTAGAGGACAAACATGACTATGAGTTTTGATATGACAAGATAGAATATGAGAGAGGTCCTATAAACCGGAGAAAGTGTTATATAAACATCTGTCATATTACTCAGAATATTATACAGAATTCAATAAAAATATATTTTAGGTGAAGAGGTGAGATTTCACCTGTTTTTTCACCTCATTTTTCACCTCTTGAATTTTCATGAATTTCATCGTAAAGACTTTGTCAAGATTTCATCGTAAAGACTTTGTCAAGATTTCATCGTAAAGACTTTGTCAAAACTTCATCGTAAAGACTTTGTCAAAACTTCATCGTAAAGACTTTGTCAAAACTTCATCGTAAAGACTTTGTCAAAACTTCATCGTAAAGACTTTGTCAAGATTTCTTCGTAAAGACTTTGTCAAGATTTCTTCGTAATGAGCGTAAATCAGACAAAAATATATTTTAGGGTAGAAGGGTATATCTACCCCGTTTTCTACCCTCTTTTCTACCCCATATGTACTTACTGAAAAAGTATGTGTTCCATCTGTCATTTTACTCAGAATTTTACACCAAAAATAATGTTTAGGTGAAGAGGTGAGATGTCACCTGTTTTCTCACCTAATTTTTCACCCGTTGAATTTTCATGAAATTTACACCAAAAATAATGTTTAGGTGAAGAGGTGAGATGTCACCTGTTTTTTCACCTAATTTTTCACCCTCTTGAATTTTCATGAAATTTACACCAAAAATAATGTTTAGGTGAAGAGGTGAGATGTCACCTGTTTTCTCACCTAATTTTTCACCCGTTGAATTTTCATGAAATTTACACCAAAAATAATGTTTAGGTGAAGAGGTGAGATGTCACCTGTTTTCTCACCTAATTTTTCACCCGTTGAATTTTCATGAAATTTACACCAAAAATATACTACTAGGGTCATTTACGAAGAAATCTCAACAAAGTCTTTACGAAGAAGTCTTAACAAAGTCTTTACGAAGAAGTCTTAACAAAGTCTTTACGAAGAAGTCTTGACAAAACATTTACGAAGAAGTCTTAACAAAGTCTTTACGAAGAAGTCTTAACAAAGTCTTTACGAAGAAGTCTTAACAAAGTCTTTACGAAGAAATTCATGAAAATTCAAGAGGTGAGAAATGAGGTGAGAAAACAGGTGACATCTCACCTCTTCACCTAAACATTATTTTTGGTCATTTACGAAGAAGTCTTAACAAAGTCTTTACGAAGAAATCTCAACAAAGTCTTTACGAAGAAATCTCAACAAAGTCTTTACGAAGAAGTCATAACAAAGAAATTTTATTGGTAAGTAAATGTGGTTTGAAATAGGACTACTTGTTTTAGGCTTTTTCCATTGTGTCATTTACTTATTTGACGTGGCAGAAAGATATAGAGAATATGAAGATGAACCAATGCCTGCAAATGTTCAGCATATGTACTCGTAAGAGATATTTTTATCTAATATTAAATGGACGCACAGAACTTAGCGAATGCACAGCAACCTGGACAACCAAACCCAGAGAATATTCCAAATGAAGTTAGAATACAAACTGCAATGGCAAACTATGGTCAAGTGCCAACAGATGTACAAATGCAAACTGCCATGTCAAATGACGCTGCGTTAGGTTTGCCACCATGGTATGCAAATATGAGATGGAAAGAGTTTTATACAAACCCTGAAGTGGGATATAAACAACTTTATGCAGATGACGCAAACACAGGAGTTGACCCAGAATATGTTTTCTACCAGAGGAGAAACAGAATGTATGAGCTCCAGTTAAAGAATGCTATGGAACTCAACAGGAAACGTAAGAGACTAGGCGGACATTAGATTTTTACATATAGTAAAATGGGTTTCTTCAGTAAGATAGGAAACTTCTTTCGAAATGTTGGAAGAGGTATATGGAATGGAATAAAATCTGTCGGAAGAGGAGTATGGAACGGAGTCAAAAATATTGGTAAAAGAGTAGGTCAGTTTGTTGGTATTATACCTAAAGACCCTGAACCAGAAGAACAAGCTCCTGTTATACAACAGCCTGAACCTGCACCACAGTCTAGTTGGCAACCAAATCCAACACCTCAACCGTATTAAAAAATTATATTTTTACCGTTCGAGAGTAGTTGTATATGAAACTAAGTTCTAAGTAAAACGCATGGTATAATGGAATTATTCTTTTTCTTCCATCTGTAGTAAACCATACTTGAAAGTCTGAAATACTTCCACTTGGTGGTTCGTATAACTTTGTAGGTTTTTCGTAAAAGTCATTTGCCAAGCATAAGAAAGAGTTTTGGGCGCCAGAAAATGAAGCATGAACAATAATAGCAGCTGGGTCGAAAACATCTTTAAATAAATATGGTTCATCTCTTGCATATCGACTGTAAATATTTGCTAAAGGAAGTTCGACTTTCTGATTTAACATTCTTTGCAAATAATACCATGACATTGCAGTGAATTCTGTATATATTTGTTCGTCTTTCTTTGGATTGTCTTCGTAGATTTGAAATGACACTTGTGAATTTTGTTTGTCATATACAATTCTCACATAAAGTGTGCTCTCGGTATTTGCATATTCATCAGCATATTTTGCATAACATGAATTTATTTTATCTTCTATATTTTTTAACGCAGTCTGTAGAGAAGATGAAAGGTCAACTTGTATTAGCTCAATTTCTTCCCACATTTTTCGTTTCCCTTCAGATATATAATCTATATGAAACCTTACAATAAATGGAAAACTTTTATCTTCTACAGACACAAACTTCATTCTACGAAAGCCAACAGCTTTTGTGACGGATGGGTCTCTTAACCATCTAAGTGGGTAGTCAAAACGATAGCCTTCATGCTTTACGGTCTCTGTCTCAAACTTTTGACCGACGTTAGTAAAAAGTTCATCTAATGGTTTAGTTGTAGCAACTCTTGAATTTTCTTTTTCTATTGGAAGCATATTTTATCTAGAATAAAAATGTCGAAAGATATTGCTTCCATGAGAGAAATACAACACAACCGACAACTCATTTTGCAAGCTCTAAATAAGAACACAACAAACTTTTCAAACTATTCTAAGATATCTGAGTCATTGAAAGAAGGAAACTTAAAACTGACATTAAACCCAATGACAGATGAGTTTCTGTTTCAAGACAATAAGAACCATACTGTTTGTATAAATCCAACAAAAGGAACTTTAAACGAGAAACCTATAAAAGAACTTCTTTTGAAAGCAGATGTTGACAACAAAGCTGACAAAGAGTATGTCATTGAAAAAGTTCAAGAAGAACATGACAGAGCAGATGCAACATATGCAACGAAAGAACATACTCATCCTGAACTAGCAGACAAAACATATGTTGACAATAAAATGTCAAGTGAAGTGACAAGAGCTGAAAACGAATATTCTAAAAAGACTCATACACATACCATTGCAAATATTACAAACTTACAAGAAACCTTAAACAGGAAAAGTGACGTTGGACATACACATTCTATATCTGATATTACAAACTTACAAGAAACCTTAAACAGGAAAAGTGACGTTGGACATACACATTCTATATCTGAAATAACAGACTTACAAGAAACCTTAAACAGGAAAAGTGCCGTTGGACATACACATACATCTTCTGAAATAACAGACTTAAACGTTAGCCTTGAAAAGAAAGCAGACAAGAACCATACACATGATTTCTTCACAACTGTTGCTATAGAAAGTATTGAAGGAACGGTTGAAGAAACTGGTGGGGATGCAATATATTGTAAACCTCCTAACTTTCCACAAGGTTTAACATCGGATGACGACATAACGACGATGAGAAACATTAGATGTAAAGATGTTTATGTCATGAAGGATGAACATAATATTAAATTCACTGCTCAAGATTTATATGACAAGAAAGCAGACAAAACAGAGCTTCAAACATTAAAGACAGAAATGCTTCAAACATTATATCCTATAGGCTCTATTTATACGTCAATGAACTCTACCAGACCAGAAACAGTTCTGGGTTTTGGAACTTGGACTCAAATAGTCGACAGGTTTTTGTATTGTGCAAACTCTTCAAAGGAAACAGGTGGAAGTAAAACGATTTCAGGTGAAAATTTACCTGCGCACAGTCACTACATAGATTTAAGTACATCTCAAGCAGGTTGGCATAAGCATAAATTTTGGGATTGGTCAGCAATGAAAAAAGGTAAAGGATATGATGTTAAAGACGACGTTCAGTTTGCTATAAATTGTTTCTGGGGTGACACTCAGGGAGATGGAAACCA